TGGTGGTACTGTTGGGTCTCTGTAAATGTTAAAAGGAGTTCGGTCTAGACCTGCTCTATTTGAAAAGTGTCCTGAGATAACTTCTGTTATGAATTTGCGCTATACAAATAAAATACATTCACAGACTCCACATTAATTTTAGTGAATTTCCAATGCGTAATCGTGTGACATGTACCCGCCGATCGTGATAACTCTTATTGTATTTACGCTTATCCTTTACCAGCAGTTTTAAAACTGAATGATTCAAGCATCGCCCCAGCTCTGGCACAGGGATACATTTAACATGGGCCCGCTGCGTTTCCGCTTAACTTCCACATTTTTTCTGACTATAGAAGAGCCAAATAATCAGAGTCTGTTCCTCAGTGGGGTGTGTCTCTGAGCTGGGGCGAAAATCTATTAGAAACGTGAATTTGTTCGTGTGAAGCCGCGGGCTTACCTGCGCTTTGCTTCTCCTGAAAATCGCCCAGCCTCCCTTGGCTTCCCGGCTGCTTCCCCCGGATCTACCGGGGGGACGGCTTAATTGAAGCTACCCCTTCGTGTTGGCCGCACCGACTACCTGTGGCTGCTAATTATAGTGGCTAACGATATCTCTGTCGTCGCGGTGCCGTGCCTTCTAATTCACTAAGCCTCACCTCCCAGCAGTGAATAAACTACACTTAATACAGGAACCAATTATCGTAATAGAGGCAGAGGAGTAACTGACATTTGGCACACTGAGCAAGGACAGGCAGAGGGAGAGGGATGAAGCCATTGCTAACTGTATGCTTAATGGTAACACTAGCGTCGTGAAAACTTTGAAACATTAGCCAAAGTCGTGCATAAAGAAATGAAGTAGCTATTAGGTGTTTAGGTAGAACTATGTCTACGTTTAAATGTTAAAGGTTGTAACCGCTGTATGAAGTAAACTATTGTATACTTCTAACATTCACTGACAGAGCTACACCACCAAGCGGTGTACACAGAGCCAGGAAGTAAACCGGAAATGATCAGAAAACCCTTACAGTAGCATGTCAGCACGTCCAAAAAAACACTAACACGCCTCTATCAAGAGACGTACCAGTGGTTCATACTCTAAAATAAATGAAACCACAACTATTGGTTAACTGAATATCTATTTAACGGAGGTTTTTGTTTTTTACACCGTAATTCGATACTCCGAAGCATAATGTCGCCCATAACATATCATTAAAAGGTCCCATCTCCTTGGCCATTCTTATATCTGTCAACAAGAACGCAGTCATCGCGCCATCATATCGTGTGGTAATGGTCATGTGGTGATGCTTTTGTTTTTAACCAGGATATAAAAGGTAATCTCATTTTAACGCAATTATCGCCCCTACTGGAACAAAAACAACTTTTCCTAGAACAGCTCTTCACGATGCATGTTCGTATCTCTCTAGTACCTGTATCTGTTTATTTGTATTCTTGTTTTTTAAGTTAATGTCATGGTGTCTGATTGGTGACGCTTAAGTGTCCACCCACATGGAGGTGGTCGGAGGTGGTGTGCTGGTGGTGCGTGTGTGAGGGGTCTGAAACGCGGGGCCCGGGAAAGGAGACGCATCATCTCTTCCCTCTCCGTCGCTGTTCGGGCCGTACCTGTGTGTGTGTTGTGTGTGTGTGTGTTGTGTGTGTGTGTGTGTGTGAGTGTGTTGTTTGTGAGTGTGTGAGACGTGTTGTGTGTGTGTGTGGGTTGTGTGTGGTGTGTTCCTGCCAAGGCATCTGGACTCCGCGTTTGTCGGTGCTGGGTCGTGCTCTCACTCTAAATCTGAACTGTTGAATGCTGTGTGTGTGTATCACCACCAGATGGCGTGCCAGTGTCGGGGACAGAGGTTGAAAGCTCCCAGGGAGAGCAGGAGCGATGGAAGAGAGGATGAAGAGGAGGAGGCAGAAACTTACGTTGTCCTTTTGGTTTTTGTATAGAACTACATTCAGTTGTGAATCCATTTTCCACTGTTAGAGTAGTTACACTGTCAGTGGCAGCAGCAGTGAGAGACCCGGATCGGTTCATGGTGGTATATGTTTACATGGGAGAGGTGAGTCCTGAACCATGCTCTTAGTTATCGCTTGCTATAGGCTAGACTATGGCGATTTCCCATGGTGCACTGAGCTCTCTCTTCTCTCTCTCTCTCTTCTGCAATCATTCATGTCCCATTAAGCATGTTACTACTTCACTTCTTCGGAGCTTCTTGTGCTTTTCGTCCTGGCAGGTTCTCATGGATCCTGGTGGGCCTCTGTCATGGATCTGTTGCTACCATTGCTAAAATCACTGATAATTCATTGGTTGGTTTTATTATTATTGTGTAGTTGATTTAAGTATTCATTATTGCTACAGTTACTGTTGTCGCTGCTCGCGTGTCCCCATCGTTGCTGCTTGTCGTCATCGTCTTTTTCATGATCGTCATCGATATCTACTATTTAAGTTAAGTTGTTGCTGTAATCTGTTTGTCTCTCTGTCTCTGTCTCGTCCCTCTCTTCTCTCTGTTCTCGCTCTCTTCCTCTCTCTGTCTCTCTCTCATCTCATCATCCTCTTCTCTCTGTCTCATCGCTCTCTGCGTGCATCTCTCTCTCTCCGGTCTCTGTCATCTCGTCTATGTCTCTCTCGGGATGTACATCTCTCTCTCTCCTCTCTCTCTCTCTCTCATCTCTCTCTCATCAATGCTCTCTCTCTGTGTTAAAAGCAGTTTTCCTGGCCCTGTCTCCAAGGTTTGCATCATGGAATTATGCCAAAACAATGTCGGACACCGTAGTTTTCTCTGGACCCCTGCCCAATGTGACCAGTGATGACATGTATAGCCGCATGTCGTCATTCCACCGCTGGCTGTCGAGGTGGTGTCCAGAAAACGATGTGGGCTTCATTGATAACTGGCAGCCTTTTTGGGGAAAACCTTTGGGTCTGATAAGGAGAGACGGCATCCCATCCCACTTTTGGAATGAGCAGCTCTGCTTATTCCAGGAAGTATGACAAAGGTTTATTTCTAAAACCTGACAGTCCAGAGTTGGGACCAGGAAGCAGAGCTGCTTTCTTACACCCAAAACCCCATAGAGATAGGTACAAATTCTCCTGCTCAGGTTCTCCTGCTCGTTCTGGGGCAAAGCCAGATCTAAACCTTGTTGGGAGCAGAACTCGACGGCCCTGGAGAAAGGTCATGTCAATGTTTCCTCTGGACAGAGTCCAAAACAAATCTCCCTAAGCGGACATTAAGATACTGTATATTCTATTCTATTCTAGGCTCAAGATTGAAGTTGAATCAACACCTTTTCTGATTCCACCTCATTATAAGATACCTGTAAAGGTGCATACACTGTTGCTGCAGGGGAATGGGATGCATTTTCACAACACTTCCAAAATTCAGTGAAGCAATGGTACGACCAGAACATATGGAGAAGTGAAGCAGGGCCATGTTTCCATTGATTACATATAGGATCAACCTCCGGGTTCCTTCTAGCTTTTCTAAACTTTATTTTGGAGATATGAGCAGACGTACGTTTGAACATCAGTCGACATACTCGACGCAGTATGCAGTACATACTGAATGTAGAAGGCAGTGTGTTAGTGTGCTTTTGGACAGACAGGCCTTTTTTCAACTTTCAAACATTTGTCCTTCGTCGTCCTTCATGAAGGTCAAAGGTCACGATGTAATTTCCCGTCATCACTGAGTAAAAACAGTAAGTAAACAAGTAAATATGAGCTTAGTTTTTCTGTAGTGCGAAGGCGTTTCTCTGCTCCACCGAGCATGATATAGACTGCTGATTAATTTGCTAATTAGAGCTGAATAATGAGCTTGTTTTCTTAATGACTTTCTCCATTAGAGACGATAAACAGGCGGCTCGCAGAGAGAGAGAGAGAGAGAGAAAGGGAGGGGAGGGAAATCTACATTCACAGCCAATTCAACACCGTAATGAGCAGGAAGTTCCAACCTCTGTAAAACCTGAGAGGATTTGTAGGCTGCAGTAATAACTGTCATGTGCACGCCATCCAGAAACAGACGGGGTTTAATTCCTGCTCGATTAGCAGCAAAAGGCAAACGTAAAACCAGAGCGTCTGAAAGATCTTGTCAATGGCTGGAGGAAATGTCACAAAAAGCTCTCAGTGCTAATCAGCACTTTAATCCTGATTTCATTGTAATGTTAGAGTCCAATGTGAGCCAACTGCAGCAGTCTGATCAGAGTACAGACACTGAGCGAGGACTGCCACCTGGTGGAGGAACAGAGAACTGCATCTTTCATCAGCTTGAATCCAACAGGAGAGAATTTATTCTCAACAACGGTCCCACCTCTGCAACCGGCACTGGTTCCCAACCTTTTTCTATCATTTAGTAAACTGACTGACATATTCTATGGATATTTCATAACAATAACTGCAGGAGGTTTGTGTGAAACCAGAGATTTGGATGAACTTTGAGCAGATTATTTCCTGTGAATTATGTGTATTTACAATTTCTAACTACCATACAGACTTACCAGGCGTCTTTTTGTTGTCGCCATATTGGGCATGTTTTTGCCTTCCTGAAACTTGTCATTGTGAGCTCTAATGCAGGAAGAGGCTGTGAATATACAGTGTTCAGCTCTTCAAAGTTTAAAGTAGAAATATAAAATAAAATGTTCTTCTCTTCACAGAAAAGAACAAAATGCTGAGATATCGGCCTATCGTGTATATTCTGTAGTGTAGTGTTCTTACTCCCCCTACAAAGGGTTGGGCCTGCCCTGTGACACAACAAGGTTGTTATAGTTCAGTAAAACTCAAACTAGGTGTGAAAAAACATACCACAAAAAAGCCTCTGAGTGAGTATCGTTGCACGAAGGGAAAACAAACAGTGAAAGAGCTCGTCAGAAAACAGCAACGAGCTACAAAAAAATAACCAGAGAAATCTGCAGCATTCGAGATATTGATACAAAACAGTTTATAAAGTCTTTAATGTGAGTTTATAATCGAAACAGATTATTTATTTTGTGAGAAGTTAATTACAGATTTGAATGAATCTCCACAGAAGACGGATTAGAAAAGACAAAGCGGTGTTATAAACACGTATTGTACACGGGCAGTATTGTTGGTTCAGTCGGCCTCAGTCGGCCAATCAGCTGGCCAGCCTGTCGTTCAGGTAGCTCGAGGTCTTGGTGTCCTGCAGCAGCGTTTTGGTGACATCGTACAGGTTCTGCTGGTAGGCCAGCCTATAGCGGCTGTACACATCATCACAGTGCGTCAGCAGGCGCTTCACGTTGGGAGTGGCGCTGCTGGGAGCGCCCTCCAGCCTGAAACACACACACACACACACACACACACAGGTGAGAAGGGGATCAGGTGGTTTCAAGTTATTTATGAGCTGCTTGAAGCCGTCTTACTTTTTGAAAATCTCCTCAAACAGGCTGGAGGTCAGCGGACGGTGGCGTTTGAGCTCCTCCAGGTACACAAAGTCTCCCTTCAGGACCACCTTCTGGTAGAGGATCTCCGCCCAGTCCGGACTGTAGCTGTACGCCTCCGACACCACGAACACCTGAGAGACAAAGCACTGGGTGTGACCTGCTGTCTGCAGGGCCGTACAGGTTTGCAGAGGTCTGAGGAGGTCTGTAGGTTCTGGATCTGGAATGCTAACACGCACTTTACCAACTTTAATTTCTGATTATTATTATTTATTATTATTATTTGTTGTGTGGAACATGTGACACATTGGTGAACAATGTTTAACTTGTTAGCAGGAGTTAACATTTAACATGTTTGCATGTTAACATGCCAAACATTACCACATTAATATGCTAATAAAGCTATATCATTTAATGATAATGGAATATAATGCTACTAACTGTATGTAAGTAAGTAAAACTTTATTTATATAGCACCTCTTTGATACAGAGATCCAAAGTGCTTTCC